ACGAATGGTATAGTTTGGCGTCATGTTTAGTATTTAATATGAAACTGTCTTCAATAGTTTGAAGATGCTTATCGTCATTGCAGCATAGTCCTGTTTCCAGATGCACAAATACATAGACGATCTAGAATACACCTAAGGGATATAGGTGAAAAAAGTAACACGTTTTCAAACCAAGTAGGACACATATATGAAAACGCCGTCACCATTGTAAGAAGTAATGCGCCATCTAAACGTTCCACCACGTCACAACGTCATAACCTCACACTTCAGCCGGAGAATTGTGTTCCAATAACCGTAAAATCCCATCCCGCGATAGAGGAACGGGCCAACTTTAGTCTCCCTCGACGTCACTGACGTTTATACCTTATTGTAAATCAACTATTTAATTCCAGCCACGAGGCTGAGCCACGTCAGCGGCCATCTGAGTAACTGTTATGAAGTTAAACATAAAAGACTTCCTCATATGGGAAGTTAGGTCGTCATTTGTTCGAGTTTGAAATGTATTATTCTTTTGTAACACATACCTCTGCTGAGTGCAAAGGAATAGTGAGTGAATGAGTGAGTATAGTTTAACGCCTCTTTCAACAGTATCTCTATGTTATTACGGCACGTCAGCGTGATGTGGGAGGAAGGCCTGACGTGATGTAGGTATCTGATGTTCTCTACTTTGTTGAAAGCAACGGGTATGATGCTAACAAACCTAGATATTTAATCCGGGCGAAGCAGGATTCGAACCGACGGTGAAGGCCTCCGTGGTCTAGAGGTAGAGCGTCCGCCCGTGGAGCAGAAGGTCCGGGGTTCCATCCCCGACTGCGTCATACCAAAAGACATTAAAAGATGGTACTTGTTGTTACCCTGCCTGGCGTTCAGCATTAAGGGTCTAAAACAAGGACTGGTTGGCTCGGAGTCAGTAAACCGTGTCTGAGTGGGGTATTCATGTTAAACTGCGGCATGGTATCTCAGTGGACTAGCACTATAAATCGGCATTAGTCATGACTAGTACAAGCAGCCACACATACACACACGTGCATGCACCTCGCTGTACAAGTGCAATAATCGTGGACGCGACGTAAACCCTATTTCACCTCACCTCACCTCGAACCGAAGATCATTGATTTCTGGCACGCCTAAGTGACGCAACTCTACACAACCAGAAAATAACAGCTGGTCATCTAAACAGAAGTCTCCCGAGGCGTGCCGTTACATGGGTTTAAAATGCACATAATTCCTTCATACGTACAGTGCGATGTGTTTCTGTTATGTGAGGGGGATATGGAGGGCTCAATGGCTGCCACAAGCTTATGGTAGCTGTGGAGGTTAAGGTGATGATCGTTATTCTAATAGGATAAGAGTAAAGCAGATATCGTTATAAATGTTCAGAATTTTCAATATTGCGAAGGGAAGATGGAAAAGACAAACTGACCAGATGGGAAATGGTGGGCAATGAAGGGAGATCGTCACTGGAATGGATGAAGGATGAATAGCGTGTGTCTGAGAGAGAGAGAGAGAGAGAGATAGAGAGAGAGACGAGAGACAGAGAGAGAGAGCGAGAGAGAGAGAGACAGAGACAGAGAGACAGGGAGAGAGACACAGAGAGACAGAGAGAGAGAGACACAGAGACAAAGTGAGAGAGAGAGAGACGATATGTGGGGACGAATATGGGTGACAGATGCGTGCGAATTGATAGGACTGAGCTGTTGGAGAATGATGGACCGGTGAATGAGGATTGCTAAGTAACAAACGTCCACGCCAGACAATATCCGAAACAGATTCCAGGCAGGGTGGCAGCAAGAACCACCCGTTAACATCTTTGGTATGACGCATCAAGGCAGCGAACTACCGACTGCTCTGTGGGCGGACGCTCTATCCACTAGACCACGGAGTCGGTCAGGGTAAGATTCCTGTGAGGACTTCACATCGTCTTATTTAAACGATATGTCGAGATAAGGGATGGCTTTGCGCTAATTAAGTATTAAAATCGGCGATAATAAGTCTTACAGTTGTAAGATTCAATAGCTACGTTCGGGGCACATGCAAGTTGCTAATTCCCTTTCACTATCCAACAAGCGTCTGGTTCAGCGTGGCTATGTATATTAGATTTGTGAACTCGAACAGCCAGACGTCGATTTCCGTCTAACCGTGGAGACTTCACGCTACAAGATGACGCCAAAATTAGCCCCAACTCGCACTGATCCTCAGTAAACGGTTAACTACGTTGTTGTGATGGCAGCTGAACCCATCAACACGCATGCAGTTACATGAAGAAGATAGTGCTGATGCATTACTTAACTCTTCGAGGGAATTCAAAGCCCAAACTACTTCAAATACACAAAATAGGTGATGTGAAATGGGGTTTAACATTGCGTTCAGGACTATTGCGCTTATATAGCAACGCGCATCCACGTGTGTGTAGGTCTGGACTAATGTCGGTTTAATATAACGCTAGCGTACTTAAACACCATGCGTCAGTTTAACATGAATACCTAACTCACTCACAGATTACAGACTCCGAGCCGACCAGTCCTTGCTTTTGTTTAATGCCGATGCCTGGCAAGAAAACAAGTGCCATCAATCACCGTCTTTTCGTTTGGAGCCGGGGGACGAACCAACGACCTTCCGATCTCCGCGTTGACGCTCCTACCTAGACTACGTGTCGGTCTACACTTAATAAGCGAATGGGGGTCTTGTGACCTTGGCACGGTCTTGTGTTATGGTCCTGTGCTTGCTTATATATACGACAGAAGATATACGGTACGCGTGCCACGTTATCTGTCATCTTCTCTTCAGATACCCCAGAGTAGCAGTTATCTCTTTCGTTTCTGACCTTCTGTCACAAACATTTCTTTGTGAGATCTCATGAGACCGTCGACACGGCCTCAGGCTACAATTGACATTGCATTATGCTTCTCGTGTTCTGATTTCAAAACGATCTTAAAAACGTTTATGCTTCTCCCCATCTACCCAGGGGCGGTCGGGTAGACTAGTGGTTAAAGCGTTCGCTCGTCAAGCCGAAACCCCGGGTTTGATTCCCGACATGGGTACAATGTGTGAAGCCCATTTCTGGTGTGATTTTTCTTGAATATTGCTAAAAGCGGCGTAAAATAAAACTCACTCACTCCCCGTGTATCCAAATCCCCTCCAATATCCTCGAGGTGTAGGGGAACATGTGACCGTGTTTGTATTCGGGACAATTTTAAAGGAAACACTCACTTTTAAATGGCATTGTGGAATTCAATCAATAGAGACAATATATCCATAAGCATCCATGAAGACACGACATTTTTTAGGCATAGTCTCCCGTGGCATCCTTCACCATAATGATTCTTCTTGTTAGGCCTGCCCAAGCTGTTGCATATTCTGGAAACGCTGAGGTTGGGGGGGGGGGGGGGGGGGGTATCCTAGCGGTTAAAGCATTCGCTCGTCACGCCGAAGACCCGGGTTCGATTCTCGACATGGGTACAATGTATGAAGCCCATTTCTGGTGTCTCCCGCCGTGATATTGCTGGAATATTGCTAAAAGCGGCGTAAAACCATACTCACTCACTCAGACAGACGACAGCAACACGAACTCCAATGGGAAAATGGGATGACCACGGGACGTAACTTTTTGTCCACACTATCATCAGGTCCGTCAAGTTGTCGTATGTGTTACCAGCTGAGACCATGATGCTGCCACCACCTATCGTACTCTTGGACTGCTGCCTGATGGTACCTCTCTCCGCGCTGTCTTGTATCGTTGACGTCAAAGATCGGATTCCTGTGGCAGCCCTGAATTTGTCCCTAAGATCTGGTGAATAATGAATCTCCTCCTCAACGCAGTGGTGCGTACATATCGGTTCTTCCCGGGAGTTGTCTTTCTAGGTCTTCTTCCTTCCATGTTTTACGTGTGAACTGTGCAACGTTTTGAGCGAGTTTTTCTATCCGCATCCAGTTGTAGCTGAATTGGCAGAGTTCCTTTAAATATTGTTCCAAATATATGTTGTAATTCTTAATTCAAGGTCGTCTTTGTTTCCATTTGACATTCTGTTGGCATTTAATACATACAACACAAAGAAAGGGGCTTACACGTTTTACGTCACATTCTGTATGTAACCTGAAGAAAACCGGGGGAGGTTTCCATTGCTTTGAACAGTTTCTGTAGATTAGTCCCTTCACGGCGTACCAGCTTGATATTGGAGGAAAGCCAGACTTGATCAGGTCTTTGACGTTTACCATTTTGATGAAACCTAAGAGAGCGTTCATGTTGGGAACAAACCAAAACAGGCCGAACCGAGATTCGAATCCACGATTTGGCACATTTAGTTGCGGCACCTTAGACGACTGGGTTTCCGAAGGGAAATAGTAGTAGGCTTTTCCTTCTTTTGTCAACTAACGAGCTCAGATTCCTGCTAATATACATGAGATTCGAATCATCGGATCCTGGGACAAATAAGGGACGTAACTGTACACGGGGAATTGAGGTGCCCTAGACCACTGAGCTACCCTTGACGCAAAGCTGAAAGGAGAATGTTTGAATTTTAAGACACACGAGACTATCCCCGCCTGCCTTGTCTTTTATCTTCAAACAAAAGCTAATATTGTATTGCAATAAATGTTCTTCAACAAAATCATTTTATGTTCCCCTGTGTTCCCCCATCAATACATATCGTTTTATAAACACACTGGTGGCATACAATACGTGGAAGACCCCCTGAGCGATTGCATAGCGGAATACCCACTATATATTCAGTCACGCAAGCCTCAACCATTTAACCTATTTGAATTAATTACAGGACGGGTTATGTATTGAACCGTTGCAACGCTTGAACACACCATTTATTCACTGACATATACCTACACATGATTCCCTAATCTGTTCTATTGATAAGTATGTTGGACGGCAATTAGAATCTATTTAGACGAGCCTTTTGAATAAGTTGTACATTTCGTACACTGACATGATCTGTGACTCTGACCTTATGCGTTGAATGTTTGTCAGTTGCTGTTGAACTGGTGTTAGATGGATCTGTTCTGCTGTATTGGCGTTCTTCATTGCGTGTGAAATTGGTTAATTATTACTTACAATGGAGGTTTTGATGTAGGAACGGGATGCGCATGGGATGCGACGGGCGATATTTGTCTTGGCTGACAGGCTTCGTTCAACAAACAACTTGTTTGCTGGTGGAAAGAGAAGGGAGGATATCGACGCCAGATGAGCTCGTTTCGTGGAGGACCCAACACGACAGATACTCTTGGTGTAAGTTTCCCGCTACTGTACTACTTACTTCTCCTCCTCCACCTCCTCCTCCTCCTCCTCCTCCTCCTCCTACTACTACTACTACTACTACTACTACTACTACTACTACTGCTTCTGCTAATACTACTTCTACTGTTGCTGCTACTACTACCACTACTACTGCTGCTACTACTACTACTACTCCCACTTCCTCTACTGCTACTACCACTACTACTGCTGCTACTACTTCTAATACTACTACCTCTACTGCTACTATCATCACTACTGCTTCTACTACTTCGACTACTACTACTACTACTACTACTACCACTACTATTACTCATGCCACCACTTCTACTAATGTACTGGTATTACCACTACTGCTGCTGCTACTACTACTACTACTACTACTACCTCTACTGCTACTATTACTACTACTACTACCTCTACTGCTACTATTACTACTACTACTACCTCTACTGCTACTATTACTACTACTACTACCTATACTGCTATTTGGCTCCTACTACTACCTCTACTGCTATTACCACTAAAGGCTCGCGATCGCTGACTTGGTTGATGCATGTCATCGTATCCCAATTGCGTGGATCGATGCTCATGATGTCAAACACTGCATTGTCCGGTCCAGGCTCGATTATTTACAGACCGCCGTCATATAGCTGGAATATTGCTAAGTGCGGCGTGACACAATAACAAACAAACAACAACCTCTACTTCTGCTGCGGCTACCTCTACTTCTGACAATACCTATACTTCTACTGCTGATACTGACAATACCTCTATTTCTGATACTGACAATACCTCTATGACGTACTGCTATGCGTCAAACTACATCATTCTTGTCATATTGCTAACATATTACTTGGTTAACTTCCAGCATTCATATAAGTATTTCTAAGATGCTTCGCTAAAGGATCAAAGGCGCCGACTGCGATAAAGTACACATTTTTCGTTGTCATAATAGGCTGACGTCATGACGCTGTTCAAATTACCTCCCTCGTGAACTAAAGTATCCTTGGTAACATCGTTCTTTTATTACTAACAAACAAGATGGGGCATCCACATCAATATCGCTTAGTGAAATAGTTTATTTAAACTTGTGGAATAATTGAATATTATTCCCTGGGGAGGCAAGCTGGTGCAACCGCGGGCTTTTCCTCGACACCTATTTAAACCGCGGGGACTGTGCCACAACAGCCACAGAACTGTCTGAGGTGGGCGTTGGTACTCTAGGCATGGAATTATGGCTGTCCCTGGACGCAGATATGAGCAATTCTTGAAGCGTTTCATAACCACATGTTCACCTTTAGCTCGGTGCTTGGCGTTTAGCAACATACAGCAATCGAACAAAACAAACGCAGTTGCTTTTCCTCCGTCATGCTCGCCCCATGGCGACGCCATCACGCCCCAGGCCGTCGATACACGTAGGGTACGGTATCATGTAGTGGAACCAATTCGGTAAAAATACTGTATATCATGGCTTGCAGTTGTTCAGTTTGCAAGCATTAGTCGTGGAAACAAACCTTTACGAGTGAAAACACATTAACTTACAATAACTAGCGACACCGAAGTCGGCTATATGTTTACTTGTGTTACGTCGGCCCCACAATGCACTTGTGGAATTGAAGTCACGTATTTAAACTGAAACACATTATTATATAAACGTAAATATAAACGTAAATATAAATCCTTCTTATTGCTGCACGGTGTTATGGATATTCACTGAACGTGACATAACATGTGACTTAGTTAAACCATAAATTACCCACTTTAGTTGTGTTTCATTGTGTTCAAAACGTACTTTGTCTCTTAACAGGTGGAACAGCCCGTCAGTAAGCCCTGTTCAAGGATTCAAGTTCAATTTCAATTTCAAGTAGCGCTTATTACAGACTTCACTTAACCCACGTTTAATATAACACAAGGTTAGTCTTAAGTCTGACATCTAAGAAAAGTACTAAAGTTGCTCTATGTCCATGTGTAGTGTAATAAAGTATAGTTTTATCAACGATTCTTCATTACACTACGCATGGGGGCAGAGCAAACTTATTTAGTAAATCTACCTCGAACACTATTACTAGTCCCACAGTCAACTGATATTGCTGGATGTAGTCAAAATTTATCATTACCAGCTCTTCTACCAGTATATTGGCACTATAAATATCACGCCGTGTCCTCCACGCCTGCAGAATGGATGCCATCGAGACATGTAGACCTACCTCAAACATTATACCAGCATCACACCTACTCCAAGAGAAACACCAATATTAGCCATACAACGAACACAATGCCAGCATTAGCCCTACACCAAGCGTGATACCACTTTCACCCCTACTTTAAACCTAATCCAAGAGAAACACCAATATTAGCCATACACCAAGCACAGTGCCAGTATTAGCCCTACATCAAGCGTAATACCACTATCACCCCTACTTCAAACCTACTCCAAGAGAAACACCAATACTAGCCATACAACGATTAGTATCAGTATTAGCCCTACACCAAGCGTGATACCACTATCACAACTACTTCAAACCTATCCTAAGAGAAACACTAATATTAGCCATACACCAAGCACAATGCCAGTATTAGCCCTGCACCAAGCGTAATACCACTATCACCCCTACTTCAAACCTATCCCAAGAGAAACACCAATATTAGCCCTACACCAAGCACAGTGCCAGTATTAGCCCTACACCAAGCGTAATACCACTATCACCCCTACTTCAAACCTACGCCAAGAGAAACACCAATATTAGCCATACAACGATTAGTATCCGTATTAGCCCTACACCAAGTACAATGTCAGTATAAGCCCTACACCAAGCGTGATACCACTATCACCACTACTTCAAACCTACGCCAAGAGAAACACCAATATTAGCCATACACCAAACACAATGCCAGTATTAGCCCTACACCAAGCGTGATACCACTATCACCCCTACTTCAAACCTACTCCAAGAGAAAACACCAGTATTAGCCCTACACCAAGCACAGTGCCAGTATTAGCCCTACACCAAGCGTAATACCACTATCACCCCTACTTGAAGCACAGCCCAAATACTACCCCTACTCTAAGCATGATACAGTAAACTGCGGTTATAACGAACTCAAAGGGGCCACAGATTTCTGTTCGTTATTGCAGTAGTTTTTATAAGTATAAGTACAGCATATATACAGCAAAGGGACGGGACCACAAACAGTTCGTTATATCGTTCAGTTCGTTATAACCGTGTTCGTTATAAACGTAGTTTACTGTACCCGTATTAGCCCTAATTCCAAGCACAATAGCAGTGCTTACTTACTCCAGACACAATACGAGTAACACCAGTACCTGCCGTACTCCAAGTATATGCCATGTATATATGTATAAATGTAAGTAATATAAGTACCATCAGTATAATACTATTTTATCATCACCCCTAATACAATAGTGTTACTCAATATACTCCCATTATAATACTGTTACCAGATCTACACTCAGTATAACACCGTTACTATTTGTTTGTGTGTCATTTAATGCCGCACTCAGCAATATTCCAGCTATATGCCGACGGTCTGTAAATGATCGAGTCTGGACCAGACTATCCAGTGATTGACACCATGAGCATCGATCTACGCAATTGGGATACGATGACATGCATCAGCTAAGACAGCGAGACTGACCCCCCGATCCCGTTAGTCGTCTCTTACGACAATCATAGTCGCCTTATGTAAGCAAGCATGGGTTGCTGAAGACCTATTCTAACCCGGACCATCATGGGTCATATACTGTTACTAGATCTGGTATCTGTACTTTCAGTACAATACTATTAGTGAGTGAGTGAGTTAAAATTTTAACGTCGCATCGGCATTATTTCAGCTATATAGCGACGAGACCAAGTTGATATATTCACAACCGAACAATACTATTACCAGAGCTGATCATAGCATAATACTACCACTGGTATAAGTGGTAACATAATATTATTTACTTTACTGCCAGCACACTAAAATTAGATCAACTCTCTTAACTTTATGCCAACATGCCTAAGTACCAAGCTATTTCTTGTGTCTTACACATACAGCTTACTAACTCCTCAACAGCGACAGGTATACTGAGTACCATGCCCCAAGTGCATGTTCTCTATAACGATTAACTCAGAGCCAGGAATTGTTATTATGTATGGTGCACACGTTTTGGCCCATATGCATAATCACGTGTCTTACAGTTAGCATAGTTACACTGCGTCAGGCACATGTTTCTAAATACGTCTGGCATGTGCACGTCATAAAGTACAACCTTGTTTTCTTAATTCTCTTTTTCGTACGTTATGTAAATAAAAACAACGGATGTGTGCACCTTCTTCCCACGCCAGCAACCTCACATTCGCTAATTACGTAAAAACCACAAAATGAAAAACTACATTTATTATTTTTCACTTTGCCATACGAGAAACATTAAGACAGAACTTACGTCAAGCTACACTGAAGCGGGTCGTTGCATATTGGTCACGTGATGTGAACAGTATTCCCACAGCTGGTGAAGTATCGATTGTAAATAGAGCTCGGTGAGTAGACATAAGGGTCTTCTCTGCCCATGCTCCTGATGGCATATGAGAATACCGTCTGGTATATACTTGGTTGTAGGTACCACCTAAAGTCACCTACCAAGGATGGGTTCCAAGGCTATTGAGCTTGAGCGTTGATCGACCAGCACACAATTCTCACTCAACTCCCACCACAAGCGATGGCGACTGTAACACTGAATGTATCAGGGAAGAAGTTCACGATCGGTAAAACTATTTTACAACGCTTTCCAGACACAATACTTGGACGGCTAACCATCGAGAGCCCGCATTATGATCCGACTTCTGATGAGTTCTTCTTTGACCGTAATCCTAAAATGGTTCTTCCAATGCTTGATCTGTATCGGACTGGAGAGCTTCATCTACCGTCGAATTTGTGTACATTTACCATTAAGAACGAACTCAGGTTTTGGGAGCTAAAGGAGGATCTTATTTCGGAATGTTGCTGGAAAAAGTATGTTGCTGCCGTTGAAGACATGAAGGCTGTTGACATCATCGAGAAATCATTATATGATCATCTGTCCGAAAAACCGTCGACTTTGAACGCAAAACATAAGATCTGGATGACGTTAGAGTACCCGTCGTGCACTGTGATGTCCAAGGTAATGTATGCATAAATCTACTATTAACTACAAAGTAGTGTTCCATATATATGCATATTCGATGTTATTGGTGTCATGATGTAATTAAAACATTTAACCAATTTGAGAAATATCGCTACCGTTAACAATGTTTTGATATGTTCGAGCAATGGATTATTGGGAATTTGACATGGCGACTTGACATGCTCTGGTAAGTTTCATTAGTTGGGTAACGTGATCATTGACATAGTTTGTATGTTTAGCCTCAGTACCCCAGTGTATTAATGCCTCTTTGAATGCCTCGATAGACCCAGCAACCCCCGACTGAAAGGTCTGCACATGTCTCTGGGAAGGGCAATGAATAAAACCCCCTTGTAATCAAAGATTAATATATATCTTGTAACGTGTATATTCTTTCTGTGCAGTACAACCATGCAGACTGTGATACCCATGTCAATAACCTCAAATACTTGAGGGAGATATTTGATTGGGTTATATATAAAAGTGTAGTCAACTGAAACCAGAGTATTCGATCGATCCCCACTCCACTTGCTATTTTGGAAAAAAGGGATAGTTTCGTGTTGATTTTGTAAACGTGTACGTGCTGGTGCCATTCTAAAGAAAACGTGCAATCACGTTGATTAATCAGACAGACAGACAGACAGACAGACAATTTATTTCAGTGACAGGCCACCGGCCAAGAATGATAAATCAGGCATTACTTGAGTAGAGTACGTGCATATAACAATTTCATTTCTGAAACAAATATGAGGTATTTTAAAATTTGAAGGCTTTTGTCAGAACACAGCCATATTATGAAGGACAGGATCACCACCTGTTTGCGTCAGCTGTGTGAAGGTCATAACAGGTGGATTTTCAGTGTACTATTGCGAGAGGTACTTCCATCTTAATTATGGCATATCCTTCACATATAAACATCACATGGTATTCATCTTCAATACATTTACAGCTTAAAAAAAACCATAAATCGCAGAATCATTCATAATGGGGAGTGTAGCTGTGTTTTCCAAGATCCCTATTTAAACGGAAATTATTACATGTAACCACGAAACATCTAAACTGACGATCATAAGAAGTGAGTGAGTATGGTTTTACGCCGCTGTTAGCAATATTCCAGCAATATCACGGCGGGGAACACCGGAAATGGGCTTGACACATTGCACCCATGTCGGGAATCGAACCCAGGTCTTCGGCGTGACGAGCGAACGCTTTAACCACTAGGCTACCCGACCGCCCTGATGTACAGTGAAACATTTTTTATACTGCCTTGAAGTCCTAGGGGTTTCTTCAGAATATATTGAGTTATCAGTAAAGGCAAACATGTTATTATTATTATATATGACATTAATTATCAAGATTCTGTTTGGACCATAAGGATTAATAATCTTAAACAAGATGTGTTTCATTAACAACTGTATTTACACTTAAGCTGGATGAGTGGCTGGTATTTGACGAGCGAACGCTTTAACCACTAGGCTACCCGACCGCCCCTTTAAATTTTGATATATATCTTAATGTAATGTGGGATTTAAATAACGTTCTTTGTTCAACATATATTTGAACTGGACAAAATACATCTCGAAGATAATCCCCTTGAAAAATATCAGTTTTGATCGCGATTACGCGATAGTCTTTTCAGAAAATCATTAAGAAATAATGTTATATCGCCGATTTCTTGTTGTCTCCAGACCAGTCCAAAGCCTAAACTGATCAAAATGTTTTAATTGATGTAGCCCATGTCATTCTGTCTACCTCATCAAATGATTTTAACATTAAGATGAGGTGTGGTGAAATTGGGTTATACAGCGACGTTTTACATTGAGAAGGCCTGACGAGGTAATCAGTGAGAGTCACGATGACATATACATATGTCTACACGTCAGGTTTCTCTTGATCTAAAATCAAGGCCCAAACACGACCTAGATTCCCTGTAGGGTATACGTATGTTTTGACAGGTGTCTAAAATGTGACTTCTCCCAGGAAGTGATGAGCAGGACGAACCTGCACGACGCTTCGTACAATGTACTTGGCTGCTCACACCTGTGACCTCTGGTTTGCTTTGGCATAGTTTAATTACTGGATACCGCTATTTCCGAGTTCTTTTTTAAGAACAAATACGACAAATAAACCTTTATTAACTTACTACCTTACAATTCCGATCAGCACAAGATAGCTTCTGCTATAATTGATGTTTATGCAAGAGGATAGTTTAGACGATTGGTGGTTCTCTTACCTAACTATAGGAACATACTACTACTACTACTACTACTACTACTACTACTACTACTACTACTACTACTACTACTACCACTAATGTTAGGCCTGTACGTATTTGGGGATGCAGGTTCAAGAAAAAACTCCAGAATGACCATCTCAAGGAACAACTTCGGGAAGAATACAAAGTAGGGCGTGGCTGGCTCAACGTGGAGACTCTTCATGACAGAATTTCATTGTGCATTTTTGCCTGATGACCCTCTTGTGAAGCATCATGTCAAAGACATGATGACAACATGACATTCTCAGTTTTCTTAAACGAGCCAAGTATGTGTAGAGGGCGTCATGGAAAATGATATTCTTTGGAATAGGCCCCTAAACAGCCTTAGACGTATCCAGGCCAATAAACCTAATCTTGTCCTTTTTAATAAATCCAATGAAATAATTTATATCATTGAATTTTCTGTACCTATTGACACTAATGTGATTGACAAGATTGCGGAAAAACATGGCAAACATGCGGACCTCGCTTTCGAAATGTCACGTTTTGTTCTCGGCGTCTTAGTTTTGGTACCTCTATATCTGTTGACTGACGGGTTAGCTATCTGGAATACGACCCTTCTGACAATATGGGTAATGCAGAAAGCTGCAGTGTTGGGGAGTCTTCACATTCTCCTAAAAGTTCTGGGTGGGTTTGTCTAGGCAGCGCTTCCTGGGAGAAGTCTCATTCGCTGTCTTGGCTGCGTGTAGAGGGGGCAAGGACCCTGAGCTGATGATGAGCCTAACCAGCCTGACTGTACAAGAATCACCCAAACCCTCTTTGCTGCATTTTTTATTTTAATCTGTAAATAATAATACCAATAATAACAACAATAATACTTGTGGTTTTGACATAGAGGTCCATCCATGGTACGACCCAGAATATGTAGAGGGCTTCGTGGAAAATGATAAATACAAAATTCTTTGGAATAGGACCCTATACAGCCTCAGACCTATCCAGGCCAACAAACCTGATCTTGTCCTTTTTGATAAATCCAATGAAATCATTTATATGTTTGAATTTTCTGTCCCTTTTGACACTGGTGTGATTGACGAGATTCAGGGAAAACATGTCAAATATGCACACCTCGCTTTCGAAATGTCACACTTGCATCCCAAGTACCAAGTTGTCCGACTCCTCATTGTTCTCGGTGCCTTAGATTTGGTACCTCCCAATTTGTTGACTGACATTGGGAGAGTTCCCCGGTTTGCTACCAGGAATACAGCCCTTCTGACAATCTGGGTAATGCAGAAGGCTGCAGTGTGGGGGAGTCACATACTCCGAAAAGTTCTGGGTTGGTTTGACAAGGCAGCGTTTCCTGGGAGAAGTCCCATTCGCTGTGTGGGCTGCGCGTAGAGGGGGCAAGGGCCCTGGGCTGATGATGAGCATAACCAGCCTGACTGTGCCAGGATCACCCAAACCCTCTTTTGCTGCTTTTTTATTTTAATCTGTAAATAATAATAATGACTCTTAATGTGAGGTTAAGTTCAGTAAATTATGAGCTAGGTATTTTAGCCGTGATTCCTTGGTACTAAAGAGACCATTATGGTAATGAGGTTGTTACGTATCTGATTGAGAAAATGGTGTATCATTGAAGGCAATGCAACACGGTGCGCGAAATCACTGGCCAGTTCAATATCACCATACAGTCAGCCAAATCATGCCTAGACTAATTTTGAGACCCAGATGCGACAAATATATATTAAGTTGCAGTTGTCCTTGAAGCGTGTGTTTCCAGATTACATGATATACTAACCATGTGTTTGTATATAATCATAGCAAAACTAGTGTCATGATTGTTTGCTCATCCTTAGGCTTTCAGACGAAGACAAAGGACATTGCGAAATATCTACCCATGACTCTAATTTCGATAATGCAGTACTGTTAAGACTCACTTGTCCATCATTGTACGATAAATCATTACTTTTGCAATTACCTCACGTCAAACCCTTACCCATGTGTAATTCAATTCCTACTTTGATAAAGTCAAATAATTAGGAAATAGGAACATGTGGTCATTGTCTTTAGTGTGTGGGATCAATTACTGCGAAATAATTATTATGCATGTTCTCCTCAAATCGAAGGAATTCCCCCACTGTTAGTGATTACTTCGGAACACTATAATAGATAATTATCATGATATTACCGTATTCATTGTCATGCGACCTCTGTCATCATTAGCTACCCCGCTGGGTGATGTTTCTTTGATATCAATCTGACACGGCAGAGAATGTCTGTAATGTGTTTCGCGGCAATGAAGATTATGTATTATGTCAGAAAAGAACCCGTGAAGTAATAGCTATCTTATATTGAAGGTCGTTGTAGTTTCTTTTGTTCAGATCTGGGGCGGTGTGATTGTCAAATAATAAAGGTGATGGTCACGCTGAAGGTCGGGTTGATATCCCACAAAGTGTGTCCACGGCCGTGATATTGCTGAAAAAGTTCCGAAAAGATCACTCTCTCTCATCTTGTTTTGGCATCACGGTGTTTAGGGAAGGTAACAAATATGTGTTGTGAGTGGGTGAATATCGTATGGATTTTTTTCAGATTACATAAAGCAATGAGAAAAGGCGTTGCAGCGAATTAACCGTATGATGTATTTTTGTGAAACTTGTTTGTTTGTTGTCAGCGATATTCCAGCTATATGACGGCGGTCTGTAAGTAATCGAGTCTGGACCAGACAATCCAGTGATTGACAACATGAGCATTTATCCACGCAATTAGGATCGATGACATGCATCAACCA